CAAATCATTGCAGTGAGAAGGAAGGCAATTGAGTGAGGCACATGGTTAATGGAGTGATGTGAACCACATCTTTCATGGTTAACATCTGGTTAAGATCTATTTCAACTATTGGGGTGAGGGGAAGTCTTTGGTACAGTTTCAGCATCCTTCCTCTTTCAGATAAATTGTGAGCTCACAGCGAACATCCTCATTTATGCCTAAAATACTCTAGAAAAACAAGAGGTTAAAAAGAGATTTGAGATTCTTGTGACAAAATGCAAGGACCTAAAGGAGGTTCAGCAATGGAAGGCAAAGAAGGGAGGAACGTGGAGCTGGAGAGAAGCTCTCTGAGCTGTGCAGCAAAGGGTTATGCCCAGCCACAATTCCAGGCTTGTTGAAGATTAATCCAGTTAGTGACCCAGAGGAAAACACAGAAACAATATGATCAGCTCAGCAGTTCTAAAATAATTTTGGTCTCTATTATGTCACCCCCTTTAAATACCAATTGTTTGCTGCTGGGTCTGTTGCCTATCAGGACTATTACTGAGAACTATTTGCCATTTGTTCTTTCCTGTCCTCTTAGCAATAACTTCCTCTCTGTGCCTTTCTTTTCCCTAAGAGCTGGACATCTGTCTTCCTCCTCGATGTGACAAACACACTCAGGGCTCTTCTTCTCAGCTCTCTTTGCTCAGCTGAAAGCCAAGGGGTGTTGCTGGGCTTTTCCTTTTCTCCCCTCAGCATCACAGAGCTGCTGCAGCCCTGAGCTGGCCAGATGTGCAGATAGGCTGGGAATACACACAGCTGTGGCTCAAGGGGATGGATGGGAACTGAATTCTCAGAGCTCAGTGAAGGTGCTGCTAATAGAAAAAACATTAGTTCCCAAAGTAGGTTTAAAAAGTTACTGATTTACCTGGGAAGTTACAAGGAAAATCTCCCTTATCTGTATGTCTCAGGTATTTATTTGGGGTTGAATTTGAAGCAATGCCAGTAACTGCTAGAGGAGGTTCCTTGGGGCAAGCTCTGCTCCTGCTGTGTTAATCAGTGGTGGAAGAGCATTGATTTACAAACCGTGTGAACTGGTTGTGGCTGCAGTTTGGGGAATGAGTATTTTGTGGAAACAATTGAAAAGGTGGTTGACAAAGCAATTGGTGCCTTTGGTGCTCAGAATGGCACATTTCCAATGCAAACCCCTCTCTATATTTGAACTCTTTAGTTTTGTATGATCCCTGTTTGGTTCCCCCTGCCCCGAGTTGAATATTCCTTGAGGAACATTTTTCGAAGTGACATCTTGAATTTTTCACTTAGGTGTTTGGGGTGTGTGGAGTAGTTTGAACAAGCTTAGCTTTGGAGAAGCATTTAGCCAGATCTGCCTGGTTCATGCCTTCACAGGAAGATTGATCCAGGTAATGCCTTAGTGCTGGAGAAAGGAACATTTCACATCCCACACTAAATCCCAGGTGGAACACGCGCGTCACCCGCGCTCGGCCCTGCGAGTACTTGTCTTGCTCCAAAAGACATGAGTTGGCTTGCACAGGATGAGACTAAAACCTTTCCATGCCAATTTTTAGGGATTGCAAAAGTTTCAGGAATAATGAGATCCAATTTGAGGCGTCTGATTTTTAACTGGTTTGTATGCAAGTTGGCATAGTTCTGACTGCTTTTTTCTTGGAAGCAGAGATGCCAAACAGCCACTTACTTTGAAGCACAAAGTGTCTCAAATTAGCCACTCAGAGTCCCTTGAAGTGCTGAGGTATTTGTGCACCTTGGGTACAGACCAGAAGGCACAAGGAAGGGATGATGCTGATGAGCAGGATCTGTGCAGGACGCAGAGTTTGGCAGTGAATGCTGCTTCCCCTGCACTCTGCTCTGCAGCTCAACTGATCCAACAACAGGTTTGGGATTTGCAGCACCCAAACAGGCACAAGCCAGAACATCTCCAAATGCCCCGTGGTGACCAGCTTACATAATGTCACTTGCATAACCCCAGCAAGTACAGTCAGGGTCTCTCTCCATGCCAAATTAAGGTTCTCTGGGGTTTTGTGTCACATTCACGCTCTGTTTGGAATTGCACTTCAGTTCATCACAAATTCGAGTTCCTTCTACATGAAGTGTGTGACCACAGAGCCAGTGAGGCTGAGGGTTGTCCCTTCAGCCTGGAGTTCCCATCACCTTCAGTCAGCACATTCTGTTTGATTTACAGCCCAATCTGCTGAATTATTTGTAGAATCCTCTTTTCCTCTCTCAGCTGAGGTAGCTCAGTCCTGACCTTCTGCCAGGGTGGTGGTCTCTCTTCTGTGGGAGGTGGTTCCTTTGCTGGAGAGTCTCAGGGAAGCCAATCTGAACTGGGGAGAACCAAGATCTTCTTGGCAAAGAGGAGGGTGGTTGTTAGACTCTGGGGAAGAAGCTTTCTTTCCCTCCAGAATTTTCTCTCCAAGGTGAGTACTTTTAATTACCACAGGGTAATTAGAGGTGGATGGAATCCAAGCCCTGCAGGCTGTTTGGTCACCAGGCAGTGACTTCACTTTGGGCTGGGTTTCCCTCACTCTCCAGGTCTGCAAAAGACTGAGCAGATACCATGAAGAGCAAAAGATAAAGCAGAGGGGGTTGTTTGCTTCATTTTTGTCTTGCACAGCCCAAAATTTCAGCAGCACTCACAAGCAGAGTTAAAGCCTCAGGATGTTTAAAACTCTCCTGCTGATGGTGGGATTTACTTTGCCGGAGGGACACGGAGACTGGAGGGCAGGAGTCATCCCACCCAAAGCAGGTTACTGAGGCAGGACAGATGAGTCACATCCTGAAAACCCCTTTCCTCCCACCGTGCTGTGAGGGGGTGGCTCAGCACCGGGGCAGAAACATCCACATCTCACAGTCACTTAGAGGAAAGTGTTTCCACAGATGAAAACATCTCCACTTCTTTAGTGGCTCAAGCTCTCCAGACTAGTGCTGGCACCAGGTTTGTCAGATTCAGCTCCTTTGTTCAGAAAGAAAAGCACAGGATTCTGAGCTTTTTTTTTTTTTCTTTTGAGCTGCTTTTTGCACTCAGATCTTTTCTTGTCGGGGAGGGTCAACTGGATCTGCCCATGAGGAACAACCACAGCGACGCTAAACGCTGCCCATGCAATTTTAATGCTTCCTAGAGCCTTGCAGGCTGAGGCATTGTGGTGCTCCCACCCATCACGGGGGAGTTAATTGAATCAATGAGGTGAACAAGAGCCGCTCAGCATATGCTGAGGGTTTGACCAGCCCAGTTATTATGGCAGGCCCCTCGTCCCTCCCCACGGCGTGATTACAGCGCTGTGCCTGCCAGGGGATTTGGTGGGAAGTGGCCAATGAGGGGCCAAGCTGACTCCAAATCCAGCTTTTTGCAAAGCCCCAGATAAAACAGACTGCCATTAATAAGGCGAGAAAGGTTAGGACGAGCAGCATTACAGCAAATCTGGAGAGGTAAGGTGATAGTTTTGTCCGAGGCTGGTAGAGCATATGGCTCCAGCTTGGTCTGGGGAAGCAGGAGCTTGGTTAGGCTGCAAGTGGGGCATTATTTCATGTCTGCAGAAGTAGTTGATTTGCTGAGCTTAAAAAATGAGAGAGCTGGAGGCACTCGATGCGATCAGGAAGCTTAAACAAAGATTTTCTGTATCTTCATAGCTTGTGTGCTCATTCCGGGTGATAAAGAAGTTTCTTAGGAGTAAAGCTCTGAAAAATCATTGTAACCTGCTCGTTTTAGGTTCTGGGGTTTGAAGTGGAGATTTGTGGTCAGAAACCTGAGCAGTTTTCCCCTTCCAGAGCTGGGTTGTTAGAGGTTTTTTTGATGACTGCTCTTTCTCACTGCTCCGTTGGAAATGGGAACAGAGCAACTAATTGAACTTAGTTAAAATGAAGGAGTTGTGGAAAAATCGAGCTTGATAATGTAAAGCTGAATAAGGAAAAAAGGAAAGGTGGCCTTTTCCACCCTAATCTTGAGATCTGTTGCTGTACAAAAATGGTGATGAGCCTTTTAAACTGTTTGTGACCGCGTAGGCTGCAGCTTCCCTAGACAGTGGTAATCTCTTCTGCAAACCACCTTACATCAGTGTGACATGTCTTCACCTCCAGCCCTGCCATCCCCTGCTGTTCCTCCCCTCTCCTGCCCCTTCCCCACTCCCCCTCCGTGCTAAGAAAAAAAATAAGTGGCAGCTGTTGGAAAGTAGAGCCCATTTGTTTTATGGAGCCGCTCGGGGAATATGATCCAGATCCTACATGAGAGAGAGAAAGCAACAGAGTGAGAGAGAAGAGCAAAGAGGGGAGTTGAGAAACTCTGGAGAATCACTTGCTTATTTTAAGTCTAATGTAGGAAGTTCAATTTTTATAGCAAGGTTCAGAGCTGCTACTAAAGGTCCTAGCTGGGAATCAAAGAATTTCTTGTGGAATATAAATAACTTCAGAGTTTTTGTTGGTTGTTTTGTGCAAAATTTCCAGTGCACTGAAATGTCTTTGATTGTCCTCTAACAAGAGGTGCCCACAGTGAGGGTGGTTAGATTTGAAGTTGTATTATATGGTAACATGATTCTTATTGGGGTTTAATTTCCTTTAGCACTTTAGGTAAAGAAACCAAGTTCTCCATGGAAGGCTCCTCTGTTCACTGTTCTGGCTCCTGATTTCAGTTAGTTAAAAGGCACAAAAGACACAAAAGTGAAAGAATATGCTAAAACTGGCAGCAGCCAAAACCATTCATAGTTCTCCACCTTGGGTTTCTGCCAAGCCATTAATGGAAACTCAAACTATTTATTTTTGTTGTCAGGTCAAACAATCCACTCCTGTCAGCTCCTCTTATTCCTAGAGGGAAACTCCTAGAAAAATCTAAGGAAAATCCAAGTGCCGTTCCATGAAATGGATGTAGCACAGGTAGGATGTAGTCAGTAGGAAGAGGTGATGCTTCATAAACCTATTCAGCCTGCCTGGCTCTCCTGCCCTTTGCTCCAAACAAAAAACCTGCTCTCCCTCCTGGGAACACTGATCCAATGTCTGCTCCCTTCTCTCCACAGCTCTCCATGAAGGAGGTCGGGGACGGACTGCACGAGCAGATGAACTGCATGATGGGTGCACTGCAGGAGCTCAAACTCCTCCAGGTCCAGACAGCTCTGGAGCAGTTGGACATCTCGGGCAGCCGAAGCACCGTGTCTGGTGTGGAGCAGCACCAGTGCTGCAGGAGCAGTGGACAATGTCTGCTCCCTTCTCTCCACAGCTCTCCATGAAGGAGGTCGGGGACGGACTGCACGAGCAGATGAACTGCATGATGGGTGCACTGCAGGAGCTCAAACTCCTCCAGGTCCAGACAGCTCTGGAGCAGTTGGACATCTCGGGCAGCCGAAGCACCGTGTCTGGTGTGGAGCAGCACCAGTGCTGCAGGAGCAGTGGAGATGTGTCTGGGCCATGGCAGGACGAGCGGCTGCACGGGGAGACATCGACAGTGAGGCACAGCCCTGTGTCCCTCGCGTGTGCTGTGCCACGGCCGGAGAGTTTGTCCCATCCCACTGCACTCCTGGAGGGCAGAGACACCCCCTGCTCCTCCAGCAGCTTCTGTGGGGAGGATGTTTACCACCCAAAAGGACCTTCCAGCAGAGCAGAGCACATGTGGCCCAGGACATTCGAGTCCAGCAGCCAGGGCACAGCTGGGGGGTGGCCAACGTGCCAGGAGTGCCCGGGGTGTGATGATGGCCATGACTGGACATCCTCACTGATGTCCCAGAGCAGGAACCGGCAGCCTCTGGTCTTGGGGGATAACATCTTTGCAGACTTGGTTGGGAACTGGTTGGATCTGCCAGAGCTGGATAAGAAGGGGGAGAAAAGCGAGGCATCCCTGTCCATGAGCAGATCTCAGGAGCTCTGCAGGAAGTTCTCCCTCACAGCCAACATCTTCAAGAAGTTCCTGAGGAGTGTGCGGCCAGACCGAGACAGGCTGCTCAAGGAGAAGCCTTGCTGGCTTCCTCCTGAAGACAAACAGCCTGAGATCTCCAAGAGATCCAAAAAGATGAACAAACTCAAGGGGACATTTTACTTCCCACTTCATGGGAACCTGCAGAACCATCACAGCAAAGCAGAGAGGTGCCCAAAGGCAGAAAGCAACCGTGAACACCCCAAAATCGGCACCAAGAAAGTCCATGATTCCATAGACTACACCCAGTCTGGGTTTGACATCAATACAGCTGTTTGGGTCTGAGTTTGTCCATGTGCTCTGCTCTGCCCACCGTGTTCCACACCAGAGAGGAGTTACAGGTCACACACATCTTTTAGGAGACCCCTGAGCTCTCCACATGGACTGAGATGAGACATGAGTCCTCTGCAAAACATGCTTTGGGCTCTACTTGCCTCCATCTGGAATTTTCTGGAGAACCTTGGCTTCAGGGACAACCTGAGCAGCAGCTGACACAGCCCCACTCATGGGGAGAGTTTTGGGGACTGATACTGGCAAAAATTATCCGAATCTTTAGCAGCTTTAGGGTGAGTGGTGCCATGGGTGACCAGCTCCTGGAGCCAGGCTGTTGACAGCCCCTCCAGGCCCATTCCATCATCTCCAGTGAAATGGCTGCAGCACAAAATCCACTGTGTGCATGTGTGTGTGTATGAGTGTGCAAATATATATATATAGTTTTATAAGAAAATCTATTCCTGCTTGTGTGCACTTGAAAGTGGGTTACAAACCAGGCAAGCCAAGCCTTGTACCCCAAGCACTTGTTATTTAAATGGAGAGAAATCAGTTCAAATTGATAAGACTTGAACAACTGCTGAGTGAGGGGTGAAACCCCAACTTTTTGGGGGGTTTGCCCCTTAAACTGCATCTCCAGTACACTCCCAGCAGCTTTCCTTCCCCTGCCAGTGACACCAGCAGGGCACAAGGCTCCTTTGCAGGGGGGTTTGTGACCCTGGGGGTCTCAGTGGGGTTTTCCCCTCTCCTTTCTCCTTGTCCCCACATTTCACACCAGATATGATGTTGCAGAAGTTCATTGTTGAGTTTTCACTAAGATGCAAAGTTAAACCGGTGGTTATTGTTGTGTTTCCTGTTGCTGTTGTGTACAAACCTTGTCTTGACAGAACCAAGTTCTTAAGTGTCCAACTCTCCAAGAGTTTCCAATAAAGTGGAATCAGTCTTGTCTCCAGTGTGGGACACCTTCAGTCCTGCTTTGGGGTGTTTCCCAAAGGCACACACAGCTTGGCTGGGGGGATTGGCCCTGGGAGTGCCTGTAGGCTGTGTCAGGCTGTTCCCAGCTGGGATCAGGGAGTTTGGGGAGCAGCCAGGAGAGTTTCCATTCAAGGAGAGGTTGTAAATCACCACAGGGAGAATTGCTGCAGGCAGAAATCCCTGCCAGGGTCCCAGTGCTGCTCCAGAGGCACATCCCACTGCAGCCCTGAGAGACTTCAGGTAACACTGCAATCCTCCTCCCCCAGCACCAGGAAAGGCAGAGGGAGAAAAGTCTGGGCAAGAAAATCCTCAAAGCCTGCAGTCCTTGACTCATGGAGGGGGACAGAGCAATGGGGCCCTGCCACAGCCTCCTGCCCCCAGCAGGTCCTCCCCTCTGTGTCTCCAGGAGCTCAGCCTGAGGGGAAACCCTGAGCCACAACCTGGAGAGCCTGCAGACAGCACAGAGCCTGCTGCTTGCCCTGCAGCCCCCCTTCCCCTTAGCCCCCCATTTCCATTAGCCACGAGCCTCACCAGATGCTTCATGTGTGCCACAGTGTTATGTTCCAAAAACCTGTTCCACTCACTCCAAGTTTAGGAAGAGCTTAATATGTGAGCAGTGGTATTATTTTTTTAAACATGCAATTCTATTCCTGTTGTAACTTCCCAAGGCAGAGAGGCCAGTGGAGCAGAGGCATGGAGGGAGATTTTTTTTTTTTCCTCCCTTGCAAATTAAATATAGGCACAAGACAGACCCTGTTTGTGCCCATACAAGGAGAGGAGTGGGGCAGCATCCGAGCGCTGTGCTCAGCACTTTTTCAGGAACCTGAGTTGCCAGCAAGCTTTTGTTTTTCCTCCTCATGGGCTGGTTGTCTCCCCCCTTCCTAAATTCTCTGAATGCTGAAAGGCTGTTGGTAAAGCATTTTGTTTTCCTCCTCTTTTTATCAGCAGTTCATCCTGTTTGGGACAAACACACCCTCCCTGCTCCCTTCCAGAGGGTCAGCAAAAAAAGGAGAAGGAGTTTTCTAGAGAGAGCAACAGCTTTTCCTGCACCAAACACCATCCTGGAGAGCATGGCCTTTCCCCAGGGCTTCCCTGCAGCCCAAACACGACGTGGGGGACACATCCCACAGCCCTGTGACACGCAAGAGTATACCCCAACCATATCTGCCTGGCACCAGAGGCTGAGCCCCACGGAGAGAGGAGCATCATGCTGGATGGGGAGAGGCTCCAGGGAGCTGAGCACCCACATCAGGGGCCTTTTTAGCTTGTTGTTGAGTACTGCCCTTAGCTGTGATGGTGATGGGCAGCAGTTGAGGACCAGGCTGAGCATGGTGGGGTAGGGGGCATGGCCACAGCTGCAGTGATGCTTGGGGCAAGAGGTGAGGGATACATTTCTGCAGGTGGTTACCTCTCCAAGGACTTGTATTGTCCAGAAAACAGGATGTGTTTATGCAGGACACAGGGAAATCTGGAGCTTCAAATGCACATTGGGAACCTACTCCGTGGGAAAAGCAGCTCTCAGGGATTGTCCACTGTTTCCTCCCACTGGTTCCAGCACCCTGTGGAGGCTGTGCAGCCACAGGAACTCAGACCCATTTTGCCAGCACACGTGGTCCCTCACAAGTGCTGATCCCCCACCCCAGCAGCTGCTGTGGGGTCACTCCCCCATCGATGGGGTCTCACCAGGAGTCCACGGGAAGTTTTCTCTGGAGAAAAAGCACTTCTGGCCCCACTTGCTCCCAACAGCTGCCCTGAACCACGGGGCAGCACTGGGTGCTCATGCCAGGAAGCTGCTCCAGGATCAGCTGCCAGACCCAGCCCTGCTCCGAGGAAGGGCTATTGTTTCTGGTTTCATGTGGAAAGGGCAGTCCTTGGCCCCAGCTGCCACCCATGTGTTCCTTTCCCACCCAGAAGAATTGCTGCAGCCAGCACTTCCCAGTCCATGTCTGCTGCCACCCACATCCCTGTGAGCACCTTCCCAGTCCATGCCTGCACCCCCTGGCACTCACCACTCCTCCCTCCCTTCAGCTTTAGGGATGAACACCCAAGGACAGAGGTGGTGGTTTCCTTCATTTCATCCTCTTCCAAAGGAAAAGATCCCTACTGGAACACTTTGCATGGACAGCTGACCAAATGCCCAACATAATTTTAAATGTATTTGTGTTTTCTCTGCCTCTTGAGCATATCTTCAAAGGATATTTTGCATGAAAATAGGATTTTCCAGGGTGTTTGCAGTGAGAAATTCAGAGTGATCTAGGCTGCAAGCAGCCACTTGGAAATGGTGAGTAAATGTAGCTGGTCTCAAAGATCCTAAGAGAAAAAAAAATGTTTAATAAATATTCTTGAAGAGACATTCAAACAATAAAGAGTATCAGCCAAGCCAGACATCCTCCCTAATTTAGTCTCCAGAGCAGGATCTGCTAATAGATTTGAGTTGGATTTGTGAATTACCATTTCACTTCTCCAGGGACTTTTCCTGAAATTATAATGGCTTTTTCTCCTCTTTTTTTTTTTTTTTAAATTCATGAAACTGCCATGAAATAGTTCCCCATTATTAAGTATGAGACCTAACTAATTAGCACAATGACAGATTCTAATGAGGCCCTTTGCCTTGGTGATAGGAATGGTTAATCCCAAACATGGGACAGTAATTATGGGGATCCCCATGAACTTGCCCTGGGAAGGCAGTGATGGCAAATGCAGCTTGAGCATCCAAATTTATACACACCTCTGTCCAACCTCATCCCAGGGCTGGGTGAGCAGCACATCCCAGTGCTCCCAATGCCCACAGCACCTAGCACCACATCCCTATAGCTCTGGCAGCACTGGAATGGCTAGATGCTGGATCTGGCCCATATGGCTTAATGTACAGAGAGGATTTAGCTCTTAACATTAATCGAGTGCTTTTCCAGGAGCTGCTCCCTGCTTGGCCTCCCTGGGCTTTCCCTTCCTGGAGCCCAGGCTGACACCCTGCTCTCCCAGCCAGATGGCCTCCAGAAGGCTCACAAATGTGCCTGTAATTAAAAAGCCTTTATTTTCAAAACCATTTCACAGCTTATTCTTCTGACAATGAGATGAGGCTTCTTAGGCTGCTGCTGGGCAAGAGGAAAGGAAAATACCGGCTGGGTACTGCATGGGGTGTTTTCCTTTCCCAGGGACACAGGCTGTGTGTACTGTTGGTGTAGTGACAGGACAAGGGGGGAGTGGATTTAAACTAAAGAGAGTAGGTTTAGATTGGATATTGGGAAGAAATCCTTCCCTCTGAGGATGATGAGGCACTGGCACAGGTTGCCCAGAGAAGCTGTGGCTGTTCCATCCCTGGGAGTGTTCCAGGCCAGGTTGGATGGGGCTCAGAGCAACCTGAGCTAGTGGAAGGTGTCCCTGCCCATGGTAGGGGTGGAATTATGTGACCTTAAAGGTTCCTTCCAACCCAAACCAGTCTGTGATTCCATGATTTACTGGTGGTCCCCTCTGCCCTGCAAACCTGCATTGCTACTGGAGCCTCCCTGGAGCCAGTGCTCATCTTCCCAACACTGCTCAGCTCTGGCCTCGTTAATCATCCATGCTGATGTGCCTAACTAACCTGAAAGGCTTTCTGACTGCAGCCTGAGCAAAGCAGCAATTCCCCCTCAATTCCCCTTGTACTGAATCCAGCAGGAAAGAAACCCATTGCCACATCCTGACTGAACTAAGATCCATTTTAGTCCAAGCCCAGCTCAGGTTTATTCCCTCCAGCACATTCCCAATCCCCTTCATCATAGTATTAATCAGCAGCAGAATCTCTTCTACTTCTTTAGGCAGCATTTCTCCAACACATCCCTGCAGAAGGAGGCTGTGGTTTATTTCTCTTTCCTTTTGTTCAAGTTCATTTGTACCCACGTGGCATTTCTAATCAAGGACTCGTACCCCTTCCAGCTGGCAGTGTCTCCTGTGCTGGTGTTAAAGCATAAATAAAAATGAGTTTACTGCAACAATTTGCCTCGGTGAGGCTGAGCTGTGGCAGCACTGGGGGATCCCATCACCCCTGGCTGGGTGGGGCT